TATATATATATATATATATTTGTGCATGCCAGTGCAGTGGTTCACACCTCTACCCAGTGACTGGGAAGCTGAGGTGGGAGGATGGCCTGAGACCAGGAGTTTGATACTGGCTTGGACAACATAACACGACCTATCTTTATTTAAAAAAAAAAAAAAGATATTTATAGTCAGCTTCACTGTTCACTCATGTGGAGTGCTTCTGAAGTGTTTAAGGATAGTTTCGATTTTTTGTTTTGTTTTTGAAACAGGGTTTGCTCTGTCACCCAGGTTGGAGTGCAGTGGTACAATCATAGTTGATGCAGCCTCAATTTCCTAGGCTCAGTGATGTTCTGGCTTCAGCCTCCCAAGTAGCTGGGACTACAGGTGTGTGTCACCATGCCCATCTAATTATTTTTTGTAGAGATGGGTCGTACTTTGGTCCCCAGGTTGGTCTTGAACCCATAGGGTCATGTGATCCTCCCGCCTCAGCCTCCCAAAGTGTTGGGATTACAGGCATGAGCTTCTGTGTCCAACCAACTTAGTATTTTCCTCATTTCTCTGGAAATATTATATACATTATGAAATTTTATACATGCCACTAATTCTTTTTGATAGAGTCTATATGTAAATACACTTAAAAATTAATTTGTACTGGGTTTTAAAGGATTTCTAAGCAGAAATAAACTTTAGACAGACAAATGGACACAAATTTCAAATCTTTAATTTTAAAAATCTAGAAGGTAATTTACTTGGTCATTTTCAGGAATATATCTGGTAGTCACGTGTTCACATGATGTGTGATGAATAACCAAAACTGCTGAGAAGATTTACCTTTTAAGAACAACTATAAGAACAACACTGAAGGGGTTTTGAATAGTAGTTAACAACGGCAAGTACTTCATGAATACTTGTTTTGTATCAGTAAATGAAAGGTATCTAATCCTTGCAACAATCCTGTGAGGTGGTTTTATCCTGTTTTGTGGAGATACTTTATGGGAAAGACTTAAATCTTCTATCTATTGTCCCATCACTCACAAGTGGCAAGATGGGAAATGTGTCTGAATTCTAAGATTGCTATTTTTTCCACTTAAACCTATTTAAGTTGTGTCTAAACTGAAAACTGAAATTTGGCCCCATTGTGAGCATTTGATGGAGTTCAAGAAAAAGGCAATATGAACTCAACACTAGAAATATTTTCCAAGCACAGGTGTCAGACTGAAAAAGAAAATATAATTCTAGGACACTAGCCATCTCTACAGTGAATGACATTTATGGAGTTATAATATAAATGCAGTTTACAGCCAGGTGCAGTGGCTCACACCTGTAATCCCAGCACTTTGGGAGGCTGAGGCAGGTGGATTGCCTGGCTTGTCTGAATTCCAGACCAGCTTGGATAACATGGCGAAACCATGTCTCCATTAAGAACACAAAGGTTAGCTGGGCATGGTAGTGCACACCTGTAGTCCCAGCTACTCATGAGGGTGAGGCAAGAGGATCACCTGAGCATAGGAGGTCAAGGCTGCAGTGAGTAATGATGGCATCACTGCACCCCAGCCTGGGCAACAGAGTGAGACCCTGCCTCAGAAAATAATAATCAGTTTACAAAATGGTTTACAAATTTTAGAAAATACCATGGAGGTAGACCTTTGTCTATGCCACTTATTTATGATGACAGAACAAAATGTAAAACCTACCTTGACCACATAAAATTCAAGGCTCAGTTGGAAAATTAAAGGAGGAACAGAGATAGAAATATAAGGGTGTTTATGTTCACAGCATAAAGATACTGGGGAGTAAAAAATACTATGTAACTTGAACAAGAAATAGAAGTTTAAAATATTCTTAAAAGCAATGAAGACTTCTGGTAATTGTCATGACAGAAGGAATGGGTATTGGACTTATCCTCCTACAATAGACTGTAAAACCAGACAAAGTATATGAAGAAATTGTTTTCAGGTATTGGGCCATAGTCAGGGATTACGAGGATTACAAGACTAATCCTTGAGGGAAAAGCAACTCACAAGCTAAGCCCCACAGTCACCCCAGCCTTCTGCCTGAGGGTGCATAGTGACACAGAGTCCATACAGAGTGCATTGGTGTCACTGTGTGGAAGAAACAGTTGAATTTAGGGCTGCTGAGATGGCTGGAATTTGTGGAGCAGGGTACTGGCAAGGAGGGAGCTGTGTAGCAAAGGAGCTCCAGAAATCTGAGTAGGGGTCCCCAGATGTTGGTGATGCTGTGGAACATTTGGAATGCTCATACATTGCTGACAGGCAGTGTAAAATGGTGTAATACTTTGGGCAATGGATGGCAGTTTCTTATGAGTTAAATACACACCTATCCTATGACCTGGCAATTCTACTCTTAAAACTTAGTCAATGGGTGTGAAAACATATGTCCACAGAAACACATGTATTAGAATGTTTGTAGCAGATTTATTTCCTAAGCTGTAAAAATCTCAACCCATGAACAGAATTGTGATATATTCATACAATGGAATGCTACTCAGCAATAAAGAGAAACTACTGATACATGCAGCAACATGTATTAAGTCTCAAATATTTTGAGGGGAAAAAAGTCAAGTGCTAAAGAGTACATACTGTTTGCATCTATTTATATGAAGTTGCATAATAGATATAGCTAATCTATGGTTATAGTAAATAGAACAGTGGTTGCCTTTGGCAAGTTGTGGGAATGGGATGAAGACTGATACGGAAAATGGAGAAAAAAGTTAAACTTTCTGGGGTGAGGCCAGGCATGGTGGGTCATGCCTGTAATCCCAGCACTTTGGGAGGCTGAAGCGGGCACATCACTTGACGTCATGAGTTCGAGACCAGCCTGGACAACATAGCAAAACTCCATTTCTACTAAAAATACAAAAAATTAGCTGGGCATGGTGGTGCGTGCCTGTAGTCCCAGCAACTTAAGAGGCTGTGGCAGGAGAATCACTTGAACCCAGGAGGCGGAGGTTGCAGTGACCTGAGATTGAGTTACTGCACTCCAGCCTAGGCACAGACAGGGTTTCAAAAACAAAAAAATACGGCAAACAAAAAAACTTTTCTGGGGTGATGGAAAGGTTCCATATCTTGATGGGATTGTCAGTAACACAGGCCCTATACATTTGTTAAAGCTCATTGAGCTAGCGTATTTTACCATACACACAAATTCATTAAACTGTACCCTTAAAATCTTTGCCAAACAAATTTAAAGATCAAGATAACTTGATCTCAGAAAAATTTCAAGATCAAGGTAACTAATAAAGAATTAAAAATAATGGGCTGAGCACAGTGGCTCACACCTGTAATCTCAGCACTTTGGGAGGCCGAGGTGGACAGATCATCTGAAGACAGGAATTTGAGACCAGCCTGGCCAACATGGTGAAACTCCAACTCTACTAAAAATACAAAAATCAGCCAGGTATGTTGGCACACACCTGTAATCCCAGCTTCACGGGAGGCAGCGGCAGGAGAATCGCTTGAACCTGGGAGGCAGAGGTTGCAGTGAGCTGAGATTGCACCACTGCCCCCCAGCCTGGGTGACAAAGTGGGACTCCATCTCAAAGTAAATAAAATAGTAGGGGTTGGTTGGGTGCAGTGATTCATGCCTATAATACCAGCAGTTTGGGAGGCTGAGGTGGAAGCCCAGGAGTTGGAGACCAGCCTAGGCAACAAATGGAGACCACCGTCTCTACAGAAAATTTAAAAATTAGCCAGGCATGGTGATGCATGCCTATAGTCCTAGCTATATGGGAGTCTGAGGCGGGAGGATTGTTTGAGCCTGGCAGAATGAGGCTGTAGTGAACCATGATTGTGCCACTGCACTCCAGCTTGGGTAACAGACCCTGTCTCAAAAATAGTAATAACAATAAGGATTGACTTTAGCAATTTGAATTCTTATGTTTCATAGGGAGTCAATACATTCAAAGCTGATGAATCATGAAATGATGTAAGCATATATTTCAGGTTAAGGAGTTAATTACCAAAAGAATGAAAAACAATTGGTTAACAAGGGTTGCCACTAGAGGTGGAAGGGAGAGGAGTGTGGATCATTACTTTTCATTATAAATATGCCTTTTTGCCATATACATGACTCATACTACATAGACTTACACTTTTTAAGATACAGTTTTAATAAAATAGTGGTTGTGTGACTAGATTCAGAGGACCAGCCATAGGTGATGGTCACACCGCTCTTGGTCTACAGTACTTGACCACTGACTAAAGCATTTCTGACTGGCAACTTTCTCAGATTTTGAACCTCACTTTGAAATTAGGACATCATCTGTTAAGTGTTCTGGAACAGTGCTTGTCCATAGTTTTCAACCTCAGCACTTCTGAGGAATATTAAACATTTTCAGTGGTGACTGTGGCTTTCTGCTGCAGTGATACTCAACTGAGTTGGAGGGAACACATAGTTTTAAAAAACTAATTTTGATACATACCCACAACCTAAAAGAATTTTTGGTTTCATATCACTCTACCATATATTTAGCTTCATCCTCCCAGGAAGCCTCTAGTACAGTACCTTACTTATAGTAGGTGTTCAGTAAATACTTGCTAAAGGAACCATTTTGAAAATAAATTCGTTGAAACATAATGGGGGAGTGAAGTGGCTTTTGCAATCTCCGTCCTACCCTCAAATCATATAATGCATTTTAAAGTACACAAATAACTTGATTTTCTGTGTCACTGCAGCAATGGATGATCATTGATTGCTTGGAGATGTCAGGTGTTGTGCATGTGCTCTAAGAAGCATATCTAGGGCTGGGTGTGGTGGCTCATGCTTGTAATCCCAGCGCTTTGGGAGGCCGAGGCTGGCAGATCACTTGAGGTCAGGAGTGAGTTTGAGACCAGCCTGGCCAACATGGTGAAACCCTTCTCTGCTAAAAATACAAAAATTAACTGGGAGTAGTGGCAGATGCCTGTAATCCCAGCTACTCAGGAGGCTGGGGCAGGAGAATCACTTGAACCTGGGAGGTGGAGGTTGCAGTGAGCTGAAATCATGCCATTATACTCCAGCCTAGGCAACAAGAGTGAAACTCTGTCTCAAAAAAACAAAAAGTGTATTTGGCTTCCTTAATACTGAACTGTTTCTCTGCTGAATCATTTCTCTGGAAGACACATGCTTTTCTCATTTCAGTAAATCTGGGTATGTTACACACTTCTGATCTTTCAGTAACACAATAACACTTTGTCATTTGGATGTAGGGAGATACCTATGTTGGTGAAATAATGGAAGAGCTCACATAATTGTGCCTTTTTCCAGTCTGGTTGAAGGGCCAGAGGACTAAGCACATGGACTGGAAATTGGAAGGGAGTACTCAGAAAGCAGAGTCACCTGTGCAGCAGGGACAAGACGGCATCCTAGAGGAGACAGGTGAAGATGGACTTCCTGAAGGCTTCCACCTTCTGCAGATTGATGCAGAAGGCGAGTGCCAGGAGGGAGAGACCCTGGCTGCAGGCGGGACAGCATGGTGCTCGGTGAGTGCATTCTGGCCATAGGCCTTGCATGATGGAATGTCTCAGAAACCCCTGTTTTAAGGGTGGGTACTGGTAATGAAAAGAGAGACTGGGAATGAGTTTTGTGTATTTTAAGTGATGAATTAACTTTCTGCTAACTGGTTTAATGTTTTAGTTTCATTTGAGTCATAGGAAAAGTAAAGTTCAAAAGGAATTTTTTATATACCTCTGAAGTGTCAGGAAATCTAAACCCTATCACTAATGAATTTTCTGTGACCTTGAGCAGGTCACATCTCTTTTTCTGGGGCTCTGTTTTCTCTAAACACAATCCAGTCTAGGTTTGTTTTTACGAGTAATTTCCTTTTTGTCTCCAAACTTTATATATAAATGAGAAAGTAACTGTGTCTAATGTTCGTTTTCCTTTTTGGAGCTTACGAAGTTCTCAAACAATTTTGTTTTCTGGATAAGAAAAATGTACAGAGAAAACAGAGACACTGGGAAAAGATAGTTGCAGCAAAGAAGAGCAAAAGAAAGCAAGAAAAAGAACGAAGAAAAGCCAATCGTGCAGAAAATCCAGGTGACAATAAATGAGACTGCTAGCATAATCATATTTATTTTTTAGCAAACATGTCTGCATGTTCCAAGGAGAGTAGGCATTTTGTTTAAGTAAAAGAAACATCTGGGATGTAGGACCCACTGTCCTATTTTCTTGGGAATCAAAGCATCAAAGAAAGCAAAATTTAAGGCTGCTTTTCAAATATAAGCTGTCTAATTAACATATGTGTTTATAAGCTCAGAATAGAAGGAATGATGCCAGCAACAGCTAATATTTATTCAGTGCTATGTGCTAGATTCAGTTTTAAGAATTTTACATGGATTACTTCAACGGAGACGAACTGTTATTCCCATTTTGTAGGTGAAGTGACTGACGCTTAGAGAAATTAAGTAACATAATTATGCCCAAGATAATTCAGCTAATCAATGAACAAACTGAACTTGGATTTAAACCCTGCTGTGTGCTCCAAAGCCCATATTCCTCACGAATCTGCTTTGTGTAAATCTAATGAATGAGTATCTTACACCAGTATCAAGTTTCTCTTTATATGAAAACAAAAACAAAAACAAAAACAAAAAACCTCACCTGGCTAGGGAGATTTGTTTCTTACAGAATATTATTCCTCTGGTTTTCCACTTTTATTTCTGATATTTCTGCTTTAGGCATCTGTCAGCACAGCAAACGTTTCCTGAGAGCTTTAACCAAAGAAAAACTTTTGGAAGCCAAACACTCAGGACCAAGACTATGTATCGATTTGAGTATGAGCCACCACATGTCAAAGAAGGTAGAACATCCACTGAGCCCGGAATTTTTGCTCTCATGAGGGAGGTCCAGAAGGGTGCAGCTTTCACGAAGAACATGGCCAACACCGGCTTCTGGGATTCCTCAGTAAATTAGCAAAGTGTTTGATTTTCTACACTGGGTTACTAAGTTCCAGGGTGGCTGTCGTAAAGAACCTGGAAGAGAATGTACATAGCTTGGTTTAGTTTGAAAATGTTTACCTTGTCTTCTGTTTTAAGCCCAGCATCTTTGCCTCTCTGTTCACAGTGCCCTCAGTTTGGATGCAACCTTTCACGTTCAGTTTTCCAGACACTAAATCTTTGGGAAGAGGAATATTTGCTTGATAGCATGTTGTGGGAAGATTGCCTGGTAGAAGAACTTCTTGCATTGTATATGTTTTTTGTTTTTGCTTTTGCGATGGAGTCTTGATCTTGTCACCCAGGCTGGAGTTCAGTGGCAGCTCACTGTCTCAGCTCACTGCAAGCTCCGCCTCCAGGGTTCAAGTGATTCTCTGCCTCAGCTTCCCAAGCAGCTGGGATTACAGGCACCTGCTGCCACACTCTACTAATTTTTTTTGTATTTTTAGTAGTGATGGGGTTTTGCCACGTTGGCCAGGCTGATCTTAAACTCCTGAGCTCAGGTGATCTGCCCACCTTGGCCTCCCAAAGTGCTGGGATTACAGGTGTGAGCCACTGTGCCTGACCTCAATGTCTGTGTTTTAATTGATGCTCATTCACCCCATTGATGAGGGAAGGATTCCCACACTAGAGTTCTGGGAGTGGCAGAATGCATGACATCTGACACTGGACAGATGAGAGTCAATAGCAGCTCATTCATCTCATAAACTTACAACCCAGGGGAGGAAGATACTGTGCACCATACAGGGCCTCATGGAGATTGTTAATCAAGAATAGAATGAACAACAAAGGGTTGTCCGAGGTGGGCTTTGTAGTATCCAGGGGGTGAGGTGCCCCCTTGTTACTATAGGAGGATGTGATTCACTTGTTTGGAGAATTCCATGGGCTGGCAGGGAACCAAAACTCACTGCTTAGGGATAAACAGAGACTATGCCTTGGACCTTTGATAAAAAGGGTTTCTTGAAGCCCGGAGACCTTATCTATGGGAGCAGAATTGGGAAGGGAACTATTAGGCTATCTGAAGTATTCCCAGTTTCAACAGATGTCAAGGCAGAGCATAATATTGGGCCTTGATTTTAGGCTTTATATCACAGTATGTAAATTTTAAACTCTCTTTTCAGACATCTATTGTATGTGCTAGTGTTTACATATTTTTCAGAGAAGTTAGGAAAACTGTAGATCTGAGGTTCTTACCTGAAACCTTTAGCCCTCTGAAAATGTTAACCAAGAATTCCCTACTATTATGCTGGGCACAGTGGCTCCTGCCTATAATCCCAGCACCTTGGGAGGCCAAGGCAAGAGGATCACTTGAGGCCAGGAGTTTTGAGACTAGCCTAGGCAACATAGCAAGACCCTGTCTCTGAAAAATTACAAATTAGCTAGGCATGGTGGCCTGTACCTGTAGTCGCAGCTATTCAGGAGGCTGAGGTAGGACGATCACTTGAGCCCAGGAATTTGAGGCTGCAGCGAGTTATGATTGTACCACTGCACTTGAGCCTGGGTAACAGAGCCAGACCCTGTCTTAAAAAAAAAAAATCCATACTGTTTAAGACAGCAGATTAAATCAAACCCAGAGTCTTTTTCTCCTACCTGACAAATCGAGCTAAATTGCTCTTTTTTATATAAGGGCATTGTTTATGATTCAGGGTAGAAAGTTAAAACTTCTAACCCTATTGTATTGCCTGAAGTTAGGAAGAAGGTACCAAATTTATCTGATGTTCTATAAAAACTTCTGTATATTAATCAAACCTCTTTAATATGTTAAATAGTATTATACCATAAGATTTTAGATTAAAGCTAAAATAAGAATTTCATATATTAAACATTTAACAGGGCCAGCAGGAGGGCATATTCTCAGTTTTCTACTGCCTCACTGTTTCTGGACTAGTATCATTATCTTTTGTCTGCTAGGTGTGATGCCATAGCGTGTACCACACACACACATGTACTCCTAGTTCCCGGGGTTTTCTGGAGGAGCATTCAGTGAACTTATCGTAGCAATTTCTTGATAACTAATTTAGAGTGAGTTGGCATGTTTTCACCCTGAGTTGTTCTTATTTCTTTGAAGGAATTAAGTAGACTGGCTGGACAGATTCGAAGGTTGTATGGTTCAAACAAAAAAGCTGACAGGCCATTTTGGATCTGCCTCACTGGATTCACAACAGACAGTCCCATTTATGAAGAGTGTTTGAGGATGAATGATGGATTTTCTAGTTACCTGGTAAGTCTCTTTTTACATTGTATTTGAATTGTCATCTGAAAAGTAATTGGGGAGTTATAGTAATTTCTTTTTTTTTACTTTTTCATATATATATATATATATATATATATATATATATATAATGATATAGTTTCAGTATTGAAATCTAAAAAATACTCAGAATCTCTCATTAGTTTTTACATTTAAAATTTTTTCTCATCCTCCTTCTGCATTTGGCAAAGTAATATTACCAGTGTCTAGGATTATATTTTGTATCCTGTATGTTTTATGCTAGACTGCATACTCCAGGAATATTTTTGGGAAATGCTATGACTTCTTTCTTGTTCCCATTAATGGTCAATTGGGGAACCATGAGTTTTGGGGGAAGAGTAGGAATCCTTTCAGAAGTAATAGAAATTTAAGATAAGTTTTAGGGAGTACTAAGCTACTTTTCACCTCTCTCTGGATCTCAAATGTAGTGATACATATATATGCCAGAATCCAGATCAGTTTCTAAGAAATGTCACTGAAAATGCGCGGTGTGTTTGCATTGTGTCGCTGAGATAGAGCACTTGTGGCCTTCTCCAGGAAGGTCCCAGAAGTGATGAATGTGAAAGGTGCACTGTGCGGGGCTGCACAGCCAGCTGTTTTGCTGTTACTGTCTTAACAGTCTCTCTTGTAGTGCAGCTATTTCCAGCTTTCTTCTATGTACTTTTTTTTTTCATGATTCCTTTCATAAGCCGAACAGTCCCCCGTAGTTCCCTTACTTTCCTGCCTTTTTTAGGTGATTCCCTCAGCTTTGAATTCTTCTCCTTTAGTATATGTCAATATTAATCTCTTTTGCAGCCGGACATGGTGGCTCACGCCTGTAATCCTAACACTTTAGGAGGCTGAGGCAGGTGGGTTATTTGAGCTCAGGAGTTCAAGACTAGCCTAAGCAATATGGGGAAACCCTATGTCTATTAAAAACACAAATATTAGCTGGGTGCAGAGGTATGGGCCTGTAGTCCCAGTTACTCAGGAACTTCTCTCTTCAGTTCTGCAAGGATAACTGCCTCAGGAGCCTGAGAGTCGGAGGTTGCAGTGAGCCTAGACTGTGCCATGGCACTCCAGCCTGGGTAATAGCCAGACTCTGTCTTAAAAAAAGAATTCTCCTTTCAGAAACCCAGTTCTAGCATTTCCTTCACCAGGTCATCCCTGATGTTGTTGCTCCCTCATCTGTAGTTCTGGGGCATACTCCCTGTACTGCTGTCAGAACCCTGTATCACTACTTCACTTCATAGATTTCAATGTCTGTGTCTACTTTCCCTCTTAAGTACTTTCTGAGAAGAAGCTGTATGGAGTTCCTTGATCCACACCTAGAGCCGTGCCTGTTAGACACTTTAAGCCCAGTAACTAGTTGTTGAATTTTGAGCGGTTTTTTATTTTTATTTTTATTTTTTTGAGACAGGCTGGAGTGCAGTGACACAATCTTGGCTCTCTGCAACCTCCTCCTCCTGGGCTCAAGCCATCCTCCCACTTCACCCTTTTAAGTATTATAGCTGGGACTACAGGCGCATGCCACCATGCCTGGCTAATTTTTTTGTAATTTTAGTAGAGACGGGGTTTCACCATGTTGCCCAGGCTGGTCTCAAACTTCTGAGCTCAAGTGATCTGCCCACCTTGGCCTCCTAAAGTGCTAGGATTACAGGCATGAGCTACCCCACCTGGCTGTGAGCTGTTTTAACATGGGACTGTTTGTATTTTTCAGCTAGACATAACAGAAGAAGACTGCTTTAGTTTATTTCCTCTGGAAACCCTTGTGTACCTGACTCCTGACTCGGAACACGGTACGTACTTGAATACATGGATTCATAAAGCCCATTGTTCCTAACACTGTGTTTCATAATTCTATGGCAGAATTTATTAAAGCCCCTCAAGGACATCCCCACACACAGAAAAAGTAATGCACATGAGCTGCGCTCCTCTTATGGGCAGGTGCCTCGCTGGATGCTTTGATGTGTCTTACCATGGCTCTCAGCTGCACAGACTTAGGGTTTCCATCCTCATCTGGACCTTGTGTGCTGCCTGCCAGTTCTTCCCAGTGTCCTTGGTCAGCTGCCCCACTGGCCCTTCTTGGATCAATGTTACATATTTTTTTCAAGAAAATCATTCATTTCACATAATTTTCAAATGTATTCATATTCAGCTGATCATAGTATTCTCATCTAATTATTTCACATTCTTCTGCAGTTTTAATTTTGTTTCTTTCTGAATCTAATGTTGATTTGATTAGATATGCTACAGTTTGTCTGTTTTATTTGCCATTTTAGAAAATTAGCTTTTGGTTTTATTGAGCAAGTTTTTTTTGTTCTCTATTTACTAAATTTCTACTGTTATTGTTAATAATTCTTTCCTTTTGCTTTCTTTGGATTTAGAAATTATAAAACAGATTTTATCTCACTGGCCTTCCTTTTTTCATTAGCTCTTGAAGATGTTGATCTAAACAAAGTTTACATCCTCGGTGGACTTGTGGATGAAAGCATTCAGAAGGTAAGTATACATTTCAGCCCCAACATCTGTGTTTTCAAAAGTAGTGCTTACTTTTAGAGGCATGTGCCCTGTCATAATCTCACCTAGAGGGTCTGAGAACTCAGGGTACGGGAGGCTGGGCACGGTGGCTCATGCCTGCAATCCCAGCACTTTGGGAGGCCAAGGCGGGCAGATCACACGGTCAGGAGTTCAAGACCAGCCTGGTCAACATGGTGAAATCCTGTCTCTACTAAAAATACAAAAATTAGCTGGGCACAGTACTGCATGCCTGTAATCCCAGCTACTCAGGAGGCTGAGGCAGGAGAATTCCTTGAACCAGGACCCAGGAAGAGGAGGTTGCAGTGAGCCAAGATCACGCCACTGCACTCCAACCTGGGCTACAGAGCGAGACTCCGTCTCAAAAAAAAAAAAAAAAAAAAACTCAGGGGACAGGAAGAAAGAGCCATTCCCACCTGGTTGGCCCTCTGGCTGGTGAAGCTCCCTCTGTCCTCATGAGCAATGTCAGCACAGTCAAGAGTCAGGAACTGGACTGGGCGCTGTTTGGTAATTATATAAATAGCCATTGTTGAGCTTCTCTCCTCTCTTCAGTTCTGCAAGGATAGCTCTGATCTTGACCAAGTGAGCATGGACTCAACATTCTTACCAGCTGTTTGTTCTTTGAGAGGATAGTTTGCTCGTTCTCGAGTTGACCTCTCTGCTGAAATAGTCTTATTCCAAAACTAAAAACTCCTAGGATGGTCTGGATTTTTTTTGTTGTTGTTGGAGTTTTAGAGGAATAACTGGGGTGTCACTGGAATTCTGAAATATGTTTGTTATACAGGTATTAAGATAATTTTGTTTATATTTACTAATTAACATATCACATAGATAAGAAATATATATAAAAAAAAGAGTAGTCAAAAATAAGTCTCTTTCCTAACTTTGTCTCCCAGTTCCCCTCCCGAGAGTCAAGTTTTCTTGTCTATCCTTCTTGAGACATTATATGAACACAAAGCAAATGTGTGTGCGTGTATATTTTACATATATGTAGATGTGTTCTATCTATTCCTGCATGTATGAGCTATACATATATTTAACACAGACGCTAGGTTAATTTAATTGCATTTATTTAAAAAACATTCATATTCCATGACTCCACAGTGATCATCTAGAAAATGAGTAGGGGGTACTTACAGAAGAACACGAGCTAATAAATGAGGAATGCATAATAGAATTAGAAAATCATCATTTTGTCACTCCTAATATAATCATTGACTCAGACAATTGAAAGAAAAGTTGTGGAGGAACTGGCTGTTTACATGGTCTCAAAGTATCACCCTACAGATAACAAAGGCAGAGATTTACAATTAAGAGTAAAGCATTCCAGTGGTCACCATCTTATCTAAATTTGATCAAACTCAGTATCACTCATAGAGGTACAATCTCTGCCTCCTGAGGTGAAGCATTCTTGCCAAAAAGTTTTTTCTTTTTCTTTTCTTTTTTTGAAGCAGGGCCTTGCTCTGTTGGCCAGGCCAGAGTGCACTGGAGTGATCATGGCTCACTGCAACCTCGAACTCCTGGGCTCAAGCAATCCTCCCACCACCTCAGCCTCCTGAGTGGTTGGGACTACAGGACCATGCCACCCGACTAGCTGTTTTTAATTTAATATATATATATTTTTTGAGACGTGGTCTCACTCTGTTGCCCAGGCTGGAGTGCAGTGGTACGATCATGGCTCACTACACCCTCAATTTCTCGGGCTCATTTGAACCGCCCATCTCAGCCTCCTGGGTAGGTGGCATAACAGGTATGTGCTACCACACCCAGCTAATTTTTATATTTTTTGTAGAGACAGGGTCTGACCATGTTTCTCAGGCTGGTCTTGAACTCCTGGACTCAAGCAATCTACCCACCTCAGCCTCCCAAAGTGCTGGGATTACAGGCATGAGTCACTGTGCCTGGCCTAGTTTTAGAATTTTTTTGTAGAGACAGAGTCTCAGTATGTTGCCTAGACTGGTCTGAAACTCCAGGGCTCAAGCAATCCTTCTGCCTCAGCCTCTCAAAGTGCTGGGATTACAAGTATGAGCCACTGAGTCCAGCCTAGTTTTTAAAATTTTTGTAGAGACAGGGTCTTACTGTGTACCCCAGGTTGGTCTGGAACTTTTGGACTCAAGCAATCCTCTCACCTCGGCCTCCCAGAGTGCTGGGATTATAGGTGTGAGTCAACTCACCTGGCTCAGAAAATGTTTAAACTGAATTTAATCATGAGGAAACAGACAAATCCAGAATGTGGATATTCTGCAAAACAACTGGACTAAGGCAAGAGGCTGTTTTAGATTGAAGAGGTTCGGCCAGGCACAGTGGCTCATGCCTATAATCCCAGCACTTAGGGAGGCCAAAGCACGCAGATCACTTGAGGCCAGGAGCTTGAGAAGCACTTAGGGAGGCCAAGGAAGGGGGATCACTTGAGGCCAGGAGTTTGAGATCAGCCTGGGCAACATAGTGAGAACCCATCTCTACAAAAAAATTAGGAAAAGAAAAAAAGGTTAAAAAACCATTATAACCAAATGTAGTATGTGAGCCTTGACTGAATTGTGCATTGAGAGGAAAGCTTTATAAAAGACAGTTTGGTGAGAGTTGAGGAGATTTTAATATAGATTATGTATTAAGTGGAATTACAGAATAATTTAAAAGTTTCTTTGAGGTGAAAATGACATGTGGTAAGGTAGGTGAATGTCATTGTTCTTAGATGCATGCTTAAGTATTTAGTGAAGAAGTATTTGAAGCTTACTTTCAAATGGTTCGGCAAATTATTTTTTATTGCGGCAAGGTCTTGCTCTGTCATCCGGGCTGAGTGAGGTGGTGCAATCATAGCCTGCTGCCATCTTGAACTCCTGGTCTCAAGCAGTCCTCCCACCTCAGCCCCCTGAGTACCTAGAACTATAGGCTCATGCTACCACAACCAGCTAATTTTTTTTTTTTTTTTTCTGTATTTTTGTTAGAGACGAAGTCTTGCCATGTTGCTCAGGCTGGTTTTGAACTTCAGGCCTCAGGCAATCCTTCTGTCTCAGCCTCCAAAAGCAGATTACAGTCATGAACCACCATGCCCAGCCCAAAATAAATATTTATATACCAAGAGAGAGAAGCAAAATATTAACTGGTGATTCTAGATTACAGGAATGAGTATTGACTGTATTATTAACTTTTCTTAGGTTTGAAATATTTCCAAGTGAAAAATCTGGAGGGCTAGAGGACTGCTTGAACCCAGGAGTAGAGGCTGCAGAGAACTGTGATCACCCCACTGCACTCCAGCCTGGGTGATGTGACATAGTGAGACCCTGTCTCTAAAAAAAATACAATAAATTAATTAAAAGTTTATTAGTCTTTCCTGCAGTGGGGTGACAGCCCCCCCAACCCCCTTTGTTTTAAACAAGTCCTTGATCTGCTGCCCTGGCTGGAGGGCACTGGCACAATCACAGCTCACTGCAGCCTCAACCTCCCAGGCTCAAATGATATCCCCACTTCAGCTTCCCAAGTAGCTGGGAGCACAGGTGGGTGCCATAACGCCCAGCTAATTTTTTGTTGAGTTGAGGTTTCACCATATTGCTCATGCTGGTCTTGAACTCCTGGGCTCAAGTGACCCACCTGCCTCAACCTCCCAAAGTGCTGAGATTGCAGGCATGAACCATGGTGCCTAGCTGACCGTCCCTTTTCTGAGGTAGTAAAGTTCAGAGGGTCAGTGAGCAGTGCATGACTTATAGATGTTTAGTTTTAACACATTGTGTTCTTTTATCTGCCCACCAACATTTAAACTGAAACAACTGGAAGATTTGTGAGATGTTTATAACTTTTTGGTTGTTATTGGAGTTTGGCTTCTTCACAGAAATAAGCTAAGAACATTTCTTCAAGGAGAGCCATTTTATTATGAATTATTGTGCAAAGAACAGAAACTAGATTGTAAGCTCTTCTAGGGCAACACCCAAATATCCTACTCTAACTTTGAATTTTGCACTCTAGTTTGAAGTGATTATAAGGAATGAGACTTGAAAAAATTTTTTTTCTATCATAGCTCATATATGCAAAGGATTTTTTTTTTTTTTTTTTTTTTTTTTTTTTTTTTTTTTGAGATGCAGTCTTGCTCTGTCACTCAGGCTGGAGTGTAGTGGCGTGATCTCAGCTTACTGCAACCTCCACCTCCTGGGTTCAAGTGATCCTGCCTCAGCCTCCCAAGTAGCTGGGACTACAGGCACCCACCAGCATGCCCGGCTAATTTATGTATTTTTAGTAGAGACGGGGTTTCATCATATTGGCCAGGCTGGTCTCAAACTCCTGACTTTGTGATCTGCCCACCTTAGCCTCCCAAAGTGCTGGGATTACAGATGTGAGCCACTGCACCCGGCCTATGCAAAGGAGTTTTATCCTTTCAAATAAGTCCTCATCAGAGTTGTATCACTTAAAACGTTTTTGGAAGTTCTCTTGAAATTGTGTTTCACGTGAGAGGCAGGTAATCCAGTGTCAGCACCAAAAAGGTACTAGGTCCGCTTCACACTATTCCACCTGGTTAGACCACATTAATGATGGCCAGTTATGGGACTGTAAACAAAAAGATATTGACTAGTTAGAACAAGTTCTAGCTGAATGATGAGGGGACTTGAAACTAAGTCATAGTCAAAGAAGAGCTGACAAAACAGAGGCTACAGTCTGGAAACCAGAGGATTCCTAGGGGCATGACCACTGTCTTCAAGTTTCTGAATGGCCATCTTGTGGAAGAGCCATCTTGTATGATCTGGCCTTGGGGGAATAGACTAGGATGAATGAGTGGAAGTCTCAGAGAAAACAGAGAATTTGTCTCAAGATCAAAAAAGACTATCCTGTCAGCTGGTACTATCAAAGTTACAGTAGATTGTCCCAGGATGCATGAACTCCTTGTCACAGGAGCTGTCCATTGAGTGGCCACATGGCCACTTGGAGAAGTCTTAGAGAACAGACAAACATTGTTTGGAGTTAGATAGTTAGCACTACTGAGACCCCTTCCAAGCCTCTGCGTGCGGATTATCCCAGTAATCTGAAACTTTCTCTTTAATCCTGAAATTTTATGTAGAAAATTTTTTCTGTGCTTCTTACAAGGCAGCAAATGTAGTTTGACTGAGTCATGACTTAGTCTGAGGGACTTCATGACTGAGGGACATCTTACAAAGAGACATCAGTTTCTGTATTCTGACCCTAAATGGCCTCAAATTGATGGACTTCTTATGACTCCTTTTTGCAGTTTTCAGAGCTCCCCCCGCTTTTTTTTTTTTTTTTGAGACAGGGTCTCACTCTGTCACTCAGGCTAGAGTGCAGTGGTGCAATCATGGCTCATTGCAGCCTTGACGTATGTCCCAGGCTCAAGTGATCATCCAACCTCTGTCTCCAGAGTAGCTGGGACTACAGGCACACCATTAACTTTTTTATTTGTAGAGACAGGGTCTCCCTATGTTGCCCAGGGTGGTCTTGAACTCCTGGGCTCAAGCAATCCTCTGGCCTCAGCCTCAAAGTGCCGTGAGCCACTGCACCTGGCCCATCTTCTTTTAGTTGAGCTGTCTGTTCTCACACCTTAATGCCACTTGTGGTAGTGGTGTACCTATCTTGAATCTTGTCTACCTTTTTTCTAATTAATTTGATGCTGCCCGTTGGCAATGAGCTGGAAGTTCCAGACTTCGAGAACTGGGTCTTACCTAATTAGGGCCTGGAATGTGCTCCGATTGACTGCTTGGGCCTTTTGATGCCTACTGTAGCCGCAGATATGCCTCTTTTGCTTATTCCCTTCTTGGTTTTAAGTGGTAATGAGTGGAGGACTGTGGATAAGTGATCCCCCAAAGTCAGATGTCACATAAGCTCTTTCTTTAGACAGTTAGCTCATTATCTGCAGTTTCTTCCATCCCACAGTAAGCTACTTATTTTTAATGCTGTATGTATTACAATGAGAATATACTCATGTATAACTTTTATAAGAAAACTATTTAACTGTGTATTTACAGAAGGTGACATTTCAAAAGGCCCGGGAATACTGTGTCAAGACTGCACGCTTGCCAATCCAGGAATACATGGTCAGAAACCATAATGGAAAAAACTATCATTCAGAGATATTAGCCATCAATCAAGGTAATTCTTACACGGCCCACATCCAGTGTGGTGAGTTCTGGTGCTGCTGCTTTACACTGTGTTTAAGTGGCGTTTGAGTCAGTCTCCTCTGTGACTAATGTGTGTGGACTTTATTGCATGCACTTTGTGACATGTATTCTGGCCACTACGAGGTATTTATTTTCTTCCTTGTCACTACGTTAAAGATAGTTTAAATTGTCCCCTTGGCTGGGTGTGGTGGCTCATGCCTGTAATCCCAGCACTTTGGGAGGCCAAGGTGGGCAGATCACCTGAGGTCAGGAGTTTGAAACCAGCCTGGCCAAGGTTGATGCCTACTGTAGCCGCAGATATGCCTCTTTTGCTTATTTCCTTCTTGGTTTTAAGTGGTAATGAGTGGAAGTGGTAATGAGTGGAGAACTGTGGATAAGTGATCCCCCAAAAAGTGAGATGTCACAAGCTCTTTGTGTGACATCACATGGTGAAACCTCCTCTCTACTAAAATACAAAAATCAGCCGGGCCTGATGGTGCGCACCTGTAATCCCAGCTACTCCACAGGCTGATGCATGAGGATTGCTTGAACCTGGGATGCAGAGGTAGCAGTGAGCCGAGATTGTGCCACTGCACTCCAGTCTGGACAACAGTGAGACTGTCTCCAAAAAAAAAAAAAAAAGGCCAGGTGTGGTAGCTCATACTTGCATCCCAGCCCTAGAATATCCTGCTTTTAACCTCTCACTGACCAGTGAATTCCTGTTTGATCTTCAGCGTTCAGTTCAGGAGTTCAGGAGCATCTTGGCTGGCTTCTTTCCCCATCCCAGGCCATGACAGGCCCTTCTGTTCCCATTTTACCGTGTTCCTTTCTGTTACATGCTATCCATTCACAGGCCTGTATCTTTCAGGGTAGGCTGAGGTCCTTGAGAGCAAGCAGAGCCTGTGTCCTTGCCTCGTTTCCCCCTAGGACCTTAGTACCACGTGTGGTGCAGAGTAGGTTTGTCAAATGAAATATTACAGAACATCCTTTTCATTACTCATTTACCTGTTCTTTTTTTCCTCTGTGTTTTCTGTTTACTGCCAGTGTTTGATATCCTGTCCACTTACTTAGAGACTCACAACTGGCCTGAAGCATTGAAGAAAGGAGTTTCTTCAGGAAAAGGCTATATTCTTCGGAACTCAGTGGAATGATGGGCCTAAAGAGTGCAGCTGTGTGGCCAGGTGCAGTGGCTCACGCCTGTAATCTCAACGCTTTGGGAGATGGAGGCGGACAGATCATCTGAGGTCAGGAGCGCCAGACCAGTCTGGCCAACATGGTGAAACCCTGTCTCTAACGAAAATACAAAAATTAGCCTGGCATGGTGGCACACACCTGTTGTCCCAGCTACTCAGGAGGCTGAGGCAGGAGAATCACTTGAGCTCAGGAGGTAGAGATTGCAGTGAGCCAGGATTTCACCACTGCACTCCAGCCTGGGTG